TGGGGAACACCTATAAAAAATATTTTAAAAATAATTTTTTGTTAAAATATAATGATCAAAATACCTCTTAAAACTTTCAAGAGTATTTTGGTCATTTTATTTTATTGGGAATATTTTCTTACATGTTTTACAAGTAGGAGTTTAATAGAGGATTGGACATCCAAAATTTGGTGTCAAAATATTTTATAAAAAACAATTAAAAATAAAATAGTGTAGAGAAGTGACATTGTGATTGGGGCAATCTTAGCCCTCCATACAGAATGGGCGGTTGGATAAAGGGAAGCATATAAGTTTTATGTTGTTGGGAGCATAGAATGCTTGCCCGGAAATCATATTGTTATGTCATAGATATGGTTTTGCAATGCTGTTTTCTAAATGTTGCTTTTATTATCGTGGTTATTTATATATTCACATTCATGCTAAGATATGCTATTACGTGCATGTGTAATTCTTCCTAACTAGAATTTGTCAAGACATATTCCTTTTTAAATATTTTTCTAAAAGGTGTGATTTGTATAGAGTCGAGGCTCTAAACAATCAAAGTAGAGTGCACCTTCAAATAGTATCGAGAAGTGTGGTTTCAATACTAAAAATCTTTGTGATAGCCTTAAAATATATTTTCAATATAGAAATTTAAAGTAGGTTAGATCGGGGAGATACATAAAAACTTGAAAATCTTGAAATTGACACTACAAAAATGCATAACATGCACTATTTTCAAAACTTGAAATCCATATCTTTTCTCATGTAACATGCATCTTGATGTCGAGATGATCAATTTGAGGATATTTGGAAATCAAAACAAATCTAGTGAAAGTTCTGAGATGCACTCTAATTTGATTGTTTAGAGCCTCGGCTCTACATAAACTTTTTCCTTTTCAAAATATGGCTGCACATATTCCTTTGAATAATCTGTTTATTAAGAAGACTCCATTAAACCTGGTTTATGTATCCAAGGAATCAGGTTCACCCTCTTTATGGAGGGGATAGACTTGTTTAGGAGGAGGTTACAGTCTCATGCACCATCTGTTGTAACAAATCCGATTGAGTAAAAACCAGATTAGAAGCATTTAGTCTATGGTGTTGAAGAGCTTGGTTGCTGAAAATTTTGCTTCTCTTGCATTGTTGGACTATTTTTCCAATACGGTCAATGTTGGACATTTTTTTCCAACATGGTCAATCGCCTGACACATGTATTCGAGAGGTTTGAAAGTCCATCCATTGAAACAACTATTACACAAAAAAAGACTAAAAAAGAAGAAGAAGGGTTTAATCGCTTCTAAAGTCCATCTTTTGAACCGTACAATTACACCCCATTTTTTGTCTTTAGTAGCTTGAAAGTAGGATTTTGGAACTACACTAATACATGTTTCTAGTGGTTCGAAAATCCGACTTTAAAACCACCCAAATACATCATTTTCTTGTAGTTTGGGCGGTTCCAAATAAGACTTTCTTACTAGAGAGGTAAAATATGAACAAAAATAAAATAAAAAATAAGACTTCATGGTAATATTGCCCAAAATGTAGAGAACTTGCTAATAAAATATCTTTTTCTCGATCCCAACATAAAATTCCTTAAAAGATCGAACCTAAACTAAAATTTTGGACCATCCATTTGTCAAATGTTAAGATTTAGAAGAGCGCAAATCCAACTCTTTCCTTCTATATTTTGAGAATTGCACGTAAGATAAATCAAGAGCAAAATCCGAACGACCTAAAAACAAGGTTTTGGGGTCATAGTCAACGTAGTGGAAATTGACCACGTCGTCATTTAATAAATTTATCCTTCTTATCCATCTACAAGATAAATCAGTGTATATTTCATTGGTGGAAGAGGGGGATATCACAAATCATGGAATTGTCACTGTGAAAGGTGGGGCTTCCATATGGGCATGTAACGTGATTTTGGAAACTGCATCTTCCAATATTGTAGCACCTAACTATGCGATAACGACCGATCACTATATTATCATGGATATTTTGATATCCATTTAAGTATGTTTTGGTTTGAAAAATACTTGTATGTATTTCAACATAACAATATAATTTTATGGTTTTTTCTAAGCTGTATTTTGTAAAAAGAAAAAATTGTGGATTTTTTGTCTCACATTGAAAGAAAAATAGTTATATGAGTAGTATTTACAAACGTGAGAGAGATGGTGTATTGTGTAGCCACCTTATAGCTCCATATAATGGGGCCTCTCTCCCATTTGAAATTGATACAACCAATCTTCGATTTTCAAAATTTGTACTCTCTTTTTGCCCCTTTTTTCACCCACCAAATTTCCAACGATCCACTTACTTTATACTTCAGATTAGAAAGTGGATACTGTAAGTTCTATGGGTGATCATGGAACTTGCGATAAAACTGCATCTTCCAAAAAACAAATGTGCCCTAAAAAAACATCAAAAGATGTTGTTTCTTCCAAAAAAAAACAAATGTGCCCTAAAAGAACATCAAAAGATGTTGTTTCTTCCATAAAGCAAACGTGCCCTAAAAGAACATTAAAAGATGTTGTTTTAAGCCCGCCGGAAGCCGCAAAAATATGGATTATTAGTGTTAATGAGTTATCCCAAAAAGAAAATTTTGATTTTGAGTTCGTAAATGCCTAAATCTTAAAAATCCACCAATTAGATTATCTAGATTCATTGTTAGAGAATGACTCATTTTGACCATACTATAGCATAAATCGAATTTCATTGTTTTGAGATTGATTGTTTTTTTTTGGTAAGCAAAGAAGTAAATCAGTGGAGATTTAGGTCCCTATCCTTTGGTGAGAATGGAGTAAAAAACATTATCATGGGGCTCGGCAATGCTACCGTCAAGACCCCAACCCATTCTTAGATAGTGAGATAAAGAGAGTGCCTATGTAAAATTTGGAGTCATACAAATGCCATAAATATGGTTGTTCATTACAAATACCTTCCTTGGTCTTGGTAGCGTACTTCAAATTTTATTGTCCATCTTTTATCTTATCTATATTTATAATTTATTGTCCATCAAGTTGGTTCCATTGCTGTTCATATTAAAATGAACCGAGATTGATGAGGAGTCGGTCAATGATGTTTGAGTATGTACTTCTCTTAAGAAGACCCTTTCCTTTATTTTGTAAGTGCAATAAATATATTGTGAATGTTTGGGGATATATTGTCTATGTATGTTCGTTTGTACATAAACTGTATTTATTACAAGAACAACACTTGTGGTACCAAGATAATTTATACTCGGATCTAATAGAGATGAAATTTGTCCCAATTTGACCAATTGAGATGTCTAGGAATGACAGTTCGTTCTCTCTCTAATTCGGAAAAGAGGAACAGATTCTAGAATTCTCATTCTTTCTAGTTCTTTGGCCAAGACAAGCAAGGACTAAACAAATATGAGATCCAATATCTAAATGAAAAAGAAATATTTTGCAAAATACTTATTTTTCATTTAGAAATTACTACAAGTTTCAATTGACTCAGCAATTGGGCCATTGGATTGTGTTATTAGTCTAGGATTTACCCTTTTAACTTTATGTATTCTTTCAAAAGCTATATGGACCAATGAAGCGTGGAAATCCTATTGGAATTAGGACCCCAAAGAAACTTAGGTTCCGGTTATTGTTCTTGTATGGTTCAAACTTATGGTTATGGGGGTATAGGGATCAATATTTGGATATTTGTAGATGAAGAATGAAAGGTACTTTTTATTTTGCATGTAGGGATAAGAACAAAAGAAACATCTTCTGGTTTCTTCAACAATTTCTATCCCTAGTAGACCTCGCAATAGCTTTTGAACCAAATGAGGAGGAAAAGCAAAGCGTTGACTCATTGGATTTCCAAGGAACTCGTGATTTCTTCCAAAACCATATGATTATTTATTTGCTTCTCATGTTATGTGAGAGCCAGGACATTGAGAAATATCTAATATTGATTTAGTAAATTAATCAATTGAATATTTATTATTTTTCATTGAATTTAGATATTTGGTTTGATCTAAAAAAATTTTGAATTTAGTCATAATGATCAAAATATAAAGCTTTATATGAGTTCAGATGTCGATGTAGTTTCGCCGCCTCTATGAACATAGTGTATCTTTGTCTCGTTAAGCCTAGAATTTTTCTACAAAATAATATAAAAACAAATTTAAGCAAATAATATTAGAATATGGGATAAGGAAAAATAATATATGGCTACCCTTTTGGGATATCTTGTTAAGTACGTCGATTTCCTCTCTACTTTTAAAACTCGTGAAACTAATTTCTCTTGCTTTATCTAGATATCACTATAGACCCCTAAACTCCTTTTTAAGGGCACCTACCCTATGTTATTTATGAGATACAATCATCTTTATTCTTGCGATACATGTCCAAACCTGTTAATAATGTAGTACACGTATGACTTTTTTTATTAAAAAACCCTATAATTAATCACCAATATTTTGTGTCCGACCCTGTTAATAATGTAGTACATATATGACTTTTTTATTAAAAAACCCTATAATTAATCATCAATATTTTGTGATCTCGTATACCATCATTGTCTTCGAAATTTTTTTCCAATTAATTGAGATCAGCTCTGCCCTCTCGTATACCATATACAAATATATTAGGAAAAGACGGTATGCGGAAGGGGACCCACTGCTACAATAGCATCTCTTGACGCATGTGGATGTTAGAAATGGCCTTCAAAAAAAGTAATACAGATTATGTATAAATAATTTCATTTTTATTTTTTAAAATTTATTGTTCTAGGGATCCCACTCGTCATCATGGTTGAGATTTTGATTCTTGAAAATTTTGAATCCAAAATCCATATCTAAAATAGATTAGGGAGAGAGGACTAATTTAAAAAGGAAAGAGGACTCATTAAATATATGAGTGGGCCGATTCATAGAAACCTTCTCCCATTAATATGCTTTCCCTCCCCTTTCTTTTGTGACATAGATCTACATTAGTGGTGAATGATACACTTCACTTTAACAAACAAATTAAGAAACATTTGCCCTTTTCAAAGGTAAAGAACAAGGAATTTCACATTAAATCCAATCAAATAAAAAACTCTTCTCAACAAATCCAAGCTAGCTCAATTAGCCTCATGATTATACAGTGCCATCCATTTAAATCCATTTTCTATGTGATCTTTTACACAACCAACAGCCTAATGCTCTTTTCTAACTTCATTATTACATATTTATATCAGTCAAAACAAGAGCTTCTCATATAACTCTTGTTTAAGCACACTAATACTCGCCGGAATCTTCTTTTTCCCGGCGACTTCTTGATCGGAAAGATCAATCTCTATGAGATTCTCATCGTCTCCCAAGGCTATAGCCATAGCTTGAAATCTTTCAGTTGCAGGGGAAACATCGGTTTTAGAGAGAGAAATCTCGATGAGATTGTCTCCTTCTCTCTCTTCCTCCCACCAAAAACACCCATTTTCCGGCTCCATATCGTCTTCTGATGAGCTTCCTGAATCTGAATCAGGGAGATACGAACCCAATGGGAAAATATCATCCGAAACCCAAGAGAAAGCCCCTTTGGTTGCCGGAAAAGAATTTTCCGGCAACTTTTGGGGACTTTTTGGAAGGATATTATTAGGATCTTCTTCTTCTTCACCTTCGTATTCTTCGTATATGACCTCTAAGGGGGCTCTATGGTTCCACTCCCCAAAGACGCTGGAAAATGATACTCTTTGCCGGAAATCAACCTCCACTTGCCCCTCGACCCCCATGCTTGAAGATCCATGTCTTTGATTTCCCAATTCTTCAATTAAATATACATTTTCTCTCTCTTCTCTACTTTCTCTCTCTGCTTGGGAAAGTGACGCACTCTGCCTGAAATCAAGTTCTGGTTGCCCCTTCACCCCAACGCTTGGAGACCCACTTCTTTGATTGCTCAACCCTTCATCGACAGTTTCCCTTTCTTCTTGCTCTCCTTCTCTCTCTTCTGCAATGTCTCTCTCTTCTTGCTCTCCTTCTCTCTCTTCTGCAATTTCTCTCTCTTCTTTCGGGAGTGAGAGTCTCTGCCCGAAATCAATCTCCAGCTCACCCTCAACCCCAATGCCAAAAACCCCACTTCTCTGATCGCCCAATTCCTCAACGAATTCCACAGTTTCTCTCTCTTCTCTCTCTCTCCTCCCCATTTCAACCTCCACCTCCCCCTCCCCCTCGACCCCAATGCTCAAGCCAAATCTTCTTTGATCCGACTCTTCGACAAAATTCACAGTTTCCCTCTCTTCTCCAACAAATTCCACAGTTTCTCTCTCTACAAGTTCGCTGTTTCCGCAGCTCGATTTCACGCATTTCTCTCTGTTTTCCGGCCATTCAATTGCCTGATGAATGGTGATCTCTTTCCGGTTCTGCACTCTTTGAACCCCTCCAAGGTGGAGAAGGGACGCAAGCAGAACTCCTGTAAAAATCGTCACCGGAGAGAGAAAAACCTGAAAAATATGGACTGGAAAATACAGAAAGATGACCGTGTACCATGCAACCAAAAAAGAGAACAGAGGATCAGAGTTGAGTGGTGGAAACCATGAAAATGATCGCAATAAGAAGCCCATGGTATAGACTAGAGCATTCTCAAAGATTTCATGACCCATATTTAACTCGTATTCATGAACATTTAACTCGTATTCATGAACATCTGTTAGAGAGAGAAACTTGAGGAAAAGGAGGGAGGAAGTGAAGGAAGCGTGCTTAATTTAGAGAGAGAAAGAGAGAGGAAAGCATAAAGGTTCGAAAATTTGAGGGCATGTGGATGGGGGGTGTGGCACCTGGTCCCTCGACATGTGTATGTGTGAGAGGGAAGGTTGGAATAAAGGAGGGAAATTTGGGATTTTAATTTTGAGATATGGCTCTATTTTTATGAGAAAATGCACAAATGCCCAGTTGATAAGGGTCTTGGAAAACTAATTTGTAAAATTTCAATATTATCATCAATATCACGTATGATTATCTTAATTATTTGGGATCGGCTACATGAATTGTATTTTTTTAATCTTTTTTATTAAAGGCCAAACATAGGCTCAGGATTTATGACGAGAGGTAGCAAAATTTTATGCCTACATGATGCAACCCACCTCCTTTACCCTCGTTTGGGATGGATTAGGGAAGAATTTAAGGTCCACACTCTTACCTCCTTTACTCGAGTTTGAGATAGGATAAGAAATTTTTTTGTATAGAACCCTAATTCCTCGTATTATTTCATAGTAGTTCATGTTTCCATTTTTCTTTCAAGCGGCATAGGAAAACATCTAAAGATTTCATCATACCCCTCATCTCTTATCATCTATTTTATTGACTTTTGATCACAAAAATTAGCCCCAACAAAATTTTTTTATACCATTTCAACCCAAAAAACATTTTTAATGGGGGAAAGGGAAAAAGAGAGTTATACAAGTTATTGGGATGAAATTGTATAAAAAGATTTGTTGGGGTAATTTTTATGGTAAAAAGTAAATAAAAGAGGAAAATAAGAGATGAGGGGCTACAGTGAAATCGTTAGAGGTTTCCTTATGCCGCTTGAAGGAAAAACGGAAAAAGGGTATACCATGAAATAATATGAGGACTTAGGGTTCTATGCGAAATTTTTCCAAAAATTTAAAGCCTGCATACACCATCGTCAAATTTGAAGATTAATTTGTAAAATTATTAGTTATTATTAAGTAAAGCCTCACCTCATAACTCATCAAAAAATTACAATTCAAGCATTGAAAAACTTTTAAATTGATCATCTCGGCTTGAACATTATGGTTGTAAAAAGAAATTATGATTTTATGCTCTAAAAATAGATATATTTTAACAAATTATCTAGACGTTCTATTTCACCTTAAAAATAAGTGTTCATAGATCAGCAAGATCTATACCATTATTTGAGTTTCAAATTTTATTGTCGTTGTTGAAAGTGATTCTAGATCCATCATGGAGATTTCCCGTTGTTGCAGAAGGTGCTTTCCAGATGAGGATTTGAAGTGAGGTTTTATTTTATTTTCATATAGGCTGGGCCTTATAAAATCTTCATCCTTAATTATTTTATTCTAATTAAGCATAATATACCGAGTTTTCCCCTGCTTCCTCCTATAATATGAAAAAGGAAAATATTAAAATATTGAGATGAAGTATTTAATATTATGCTTTCGAAGAAAAAAAGTATTTAATATTATGCTTTTGAAGAAAAAAAGTATTTAATATTGTAGCCATATTATTTGATTTAATTTCTAAATATCTATAAAAAGATACATAATCAAGAGTTGGAAGTGTCAAAATATAAATTGCTAAATAGTACATCTCTATTTTGATAAACTGCCAATTATAAAAATAATAGTAATGCCAGTCAACACTAGGAACAGATTGGAAAGTGTTTGTAATGTGTATTTAAAGTTTTTTTTATCATTTTGATAAAAATTGGAAAGTGTTTTGGTTATGGGTATTTATTTTTATATTTTTTCATCTTTTTTTTGAAAATTTCAAAAATAACCCTAAACACATATCAATTTTTTAAAATCTATTTTTTGATTACTTTTCAACTTCGTTTAAATGTGTCTTGTTTAATTATGCTTTGAGGTTTTTTTTAGGGGCTTTTGTATTTTTTTAAGTTTTAAACATTTTTTGGAATGGTCGGGACCTGCCCGATTAGAGCAAATGAACTGCCCAGTCTACTAGTTATTCGGACCCAGCCCTTGGCTAGTTTGCACGTCTGGTTCGATTTTGTCAAACGCCCCTGAATACCAGTAGATAGGGTTTCCCGGGTGGATGAATGACGGGCATAATCCTGCGGGAGCACTTAATCTTTTTGACATTTAAAAATCTCCTCACCAGATTCGTTATTTTTGTGTCGTGGAAAACTAGGGACCAGAATAACCATCAGGGGAAGATAGGAGGATAACACAGAAATCTTTTCCATAAAGTCAAGGGTATTTCCGTACTTATCGAACTTTATTGTTTTGTCAAGAAAGGTCCAGGGAGCCATGATAGGAGGATCGGTAGCTTTAAAATGCGGGCACTCCTTTACGGATTTCCCCGCCGCTTTTCCCACTAAACGTTTTTGAAACGGATAAGATTTATGCTACCCCGAGTGCAAATTGTACATTTGCTCGCTTGTGAGAAACCGTAACGAGTACCTTTACGGATGTGTGCTGACCAACTTAGCAAACAAAGTATAAATGAAAAAGGAAATTTTAAGTCAGCACTTTAGATTAGAATGGATAAAAAAATCGCATATTAATACTGCGCATAGACTGTTTACCTTTCAGACATAGTGCTTAGGGATTTAACTTACTTTTTTAGACTAATCATCTCATAATTATAAAGAAAAACCTAAAACTTACGATGAAGAAATATTTCTTAGTATGTTATTTTCTTGAGGGAGTACATGGATATTTTGTTTTGAAGGGAGCATATTTCTTTAATTTTTTCTTTCAATTTTTTGCTTTTTAATTGTTAGGAGTCCGGATCATCAATCTACCGAACCGGATCGGAAATCTAAAGGGGTGATCCAGGTTTTTGTTTTCAATTTTTTTATTTTAAATTTTTAATTATCGGAGTCCGGATCATCAATCCACCGAACCGGATCGAAAATCTGGAAGGATGATCCAGATCATCAATCCATTTTTTAAAACCTTAATTTCATTGGATATGACTTAAGTACCATATTTTTGGTATAGCATCACATATGCACATGGCATCCACCAACCATTCTTTTTTTGAAAGGGCTAACGATGGGAATGGAGCTTAGGACATCATGTTGAGACCCTTGCCCCCCAAACCACCGATGCCCCAACCCCCTTCCCCTCTTTTCTATTCTTGAATTCCAAGTGTCAATAGCTACAGTTCATCTCATTCTTTTACTTTGAAAGATGGATGATCGATGCTGTGAATGAATGGTTACGTAGAGTATACTTTCCATATACTTAAAAGGAAACCATGTGTATGGTCTATGATGCACGATGCATCTGTCAGTTAACCACCATCCATTTGGAGATGAATGGTGATGGGCTCTCGATGAATGGTGTATTTAACAGAATGAAGGTTAGTAATTTTCGTAAATAGGAAGGTTATTACCAGGCGTTTAACTCAAATGTCGGGCACTTTCGTGATTCCCTCCAATTCTATGGAGCGGGTGGTTTTGGATAGCCCACCCATAGTACCAATCTGGATTGGCCAAATCAAAGACCAAGAATGTCTGAATAGTTGAAAAATTGGTAAAAAGAATTAAATAAAAAATATGTTAGGTGATTCTAGGAGTCTCATATCTCCCACCTATAGAATTATGATCGAAATTCGTGAATTCTGATCTAAAATTCCTGAGTTGTAGAAGTGGTTTCTGATCTAAGATTGTCGAGCTTTAAAACCGGACATTTTGGTCACACCAAAAAAGTATAAATAGCCACATGACTAAGGAGTGGGCAATCCCTATGCACATTACATTTCTCAACACTATTTAAATGTGTGTTTTATTTTGATTGTTTGGTACCTCAGGTTTATACAACCCTCACCCAATAAGAAAAAAGTTGATATAAGTACAAGGTCAGTAACCAATAAATTTAGGACTAACCTCAAAATTTTTGCTAGAAGAGATAGTTTTGGTGCTCAAATTGATCATCTCGACATCAAGATGCATGGACATGAGAAAAAAATGGATTTCAAAATTTGGAAATAATGCATATTGTAATATATTTTTAGACTGACAATTTTCAAGATTTTCAAGTTTTCATATATCTGCTCGATCTACACTATTATTGAAGCTTTAAATTGATAATTAGAGATAAAAATATATTTTAAGCCTATCACAAAGATTTCCAGTATTGAAACCACATTTCTCTATACTATTTGAAAGTGAGCTTTACTTTGATTGTTTAGTGTATTGGCTTTATACAAATTGCACCCATAAAATAAAAGGAAAGGAAAATTATGGACACTACTTACTAGTGCTTTTTTAATACCATTATTAACCTTAATACTGCTTTTTCTTGCAACCATTACTCAAGTACAATAGTTGACTTTTTTTAATCAAGATATCTTGTTTTTTGCCATGTTTCATGATTTCTCTCTAACTCGGCCGAGCACAAAATGTGCTAGACCAACACAACTTTAATATAGAGACGGTCTAACACACTTTTTAAGTTGGACCAACCTATTTTTGTGCCAATTTGTCCATTTTTGTGCCGGTCCAATACATTTTTTTTTGTCGGACAGACATATTTTTCTGCCAAAAGTTAGTTCGATACAAATTATGTTCGACCGGGTTAAGAGACTCGTGCATGTGACAACGGGTGATGGAAACATGACGGAAATGTGTAAAAAAAAGGGTATTTTCACCCTTAGAAATATAACTTTTTGATTTAAGGGTTAGTAAAAAAAAAAAAAGGTTTAAGGACGTAATTTAAGAAGTGTTAAAAAGGGATGATGTTTAGAAAGTAGAGTCAAGAAGGGTTTCAACAATTTTCCCTAGAATAAATGATTATTTTAAGACTCCAATGTACAAAACAGGCCCACACCTACTTCCCACGATGTGGTTTCAATGACGGTGACACCACCCAATGACACTTAAAAAAAGCCAACTTCCCAATTTATGTGATAAAACAAGTAGGCGCTTGTCTTGCCGTTGAATTAGTTAATGAAAAAAAAAAAAAAAAGGAACCGACGAGGCCGTGATTGACGGGTAAATTTGGATATTTTATTAACTTATGCAAAAGATTAGGTCATCCTGCACGACTAAATTGTTAAATTAAGAAGGGAACCCAAGACATTGTTTTGTGGCATGTTGCCGGCCAGACCACCTAGGTACTCTCAAATTTCTATCATGAAT